GGGGGGGGGGGGCCTGTCTTTCACTTCTCTCAGGACTCCAAGGAGGCACAGAGGATCCCTGACCCCTTTCCTGGTGGGGATCTCAGGCTCACTGCACAGCCGGCCCTGGAGAGGATGCATTGGTAGCTTGTCCACACTGGGGTCTGCAGGCCCCTCTCCCTGTCGCTGGGCACCAGCTCCACGACCACAGCTTGGAGACAGAGGGGGGTCAGCTCTGTGGTCCACTGCTCCTGCCCTGGGTGCCTCCAGGACCCTTTGTTGGGTGACAGTTCAGGGCTCCTCTGATCAGGCTCAGGGGTCTTTGGGGACACGGGTCCTACCCCCTACCCAAGGCAAGTGGCCCCACTGAGTTCTGGCAAAGGGTAAACTGAGGCCCAGAGCAGCCTTATCGGCCTCTCCACGTAGCAGTCCAGTGGTAGCAGCTGCAGCACAGCCTCCAGGCGCTGAGGGATGCCCAGGCCTGAGGGCAGAGTGCTGGCCTCAGACGCCGCCGTCTCCCGCCCGGCCACCTGCTGCCCGTGGGGTGACACTTATTGAGGTCACATTGGTGTCTTCCCCGCTCTGGCCACGGCACCTGTCACTGTCTTGGCCCTGCCCATCCCCCTTCACTCTACCACACGGGCTGCTGGTGGTGACCCCCAAACACTTGTCCACCAGGAGGGGCACCTGGGCCACCTCCTTGAACCCAGAAGGCCCTGGAGATGACCTCCTTGTGACGAGGACAGTGGGGTCTGGAAGAAGGCCCCTCTGGCCCCAGGCCGCCCCCAGACCTGCCCCACTTGGCTCCAAGGGCCCCTGCTCTCCCGAAAGTTGGTTTCTGATTGTTAAGCTAATGTGTGCTCATTGTACAAAACCAGGAAATACAGAAGCCCACGAAGAAAAAGAACCGGCTGTAATCTTACTACGTAAAGGAAACCCTGCTACTGTCGGAGTGCATTTCCTTCTGCCGTTTTCCCTCGTTTCAACAAGGTTAGACTTGTCTGCACATTGGACGCTGAATGCTGACTGCTCGTTTGCCGGGGTGTGTGTGTCACTTCTGGGGGTTGCACCGGGATTCACTTATGCCTTCCTTCTCTTCCACCATTTGGGCCTTTCCGTGGCCCACCCCGCGGAAAGGGAGGGGAGCACCTCAGGTTGCCTGGCCCAAGGTGTAAACCGAGGCACAGCGGGCTCGGCTCCCTGAGCAGCGGGGGAAGCCAGGGCCACCAGGTCAGGAGCGCCCTGCCCAGGGGGCTGCGTTTACCCCACATTTCACATCTCTGTGCCTTTAGTGGCCTGAACTCTGCAGGGAGAGTCGTGTTCCTGCCTCACAACATTGCTGGGGGTGGAGGCATCCAGGCACAGCCCAAGCCCAGCCCATGCCCCCCGTTACCCTCAGGGCTGCTAACCCCTCTCTTACTGTTACCTCCTGGACCTGGCTCCAGGGCCCTCCCAGCCTCGCCTCCCACTGGCCCCTGGGGGGATGAGAGGGTCTTAAGAGATGGAGTGTGCGGACACCTGGAACCTTTGGGGCCCGGTTACGAGCGGTGGGATTCTAGAGCAGAGTAAAGGCTGAACACCTGACCTGGGCCAGGAACCGCTGCTCAGCCAGGATGGTGCCAGGCCTTAGCTTCCCCGTTTGTAAGAAGACACCAAGTGGTGTGTGAGATGGGGCAGGAGGCCCAGGCTCAATTCTGGGGGCTGGGGGCTGCAGGGAGAATCTTGAGGGTCCTGGCACTGAGATTTCCTGGGTCACTGGTGGGTTATTGAGGAATTGGTGGGGGTAGGAGCAGAGCTGCAGCACCTGGGCAGCCCAGAGGCCGGATGACAGCCCACCCTCCCCACCCCGGCCTGCAGAAGGTGGGGCTCACCGTTGGCAGGGATCTCCTCTGGTCCACACCTGCAGATGCAGGCGGTGGGGAAGTTCACATCCTCAAGAACTGAACAGCCAGCACGGTTAGACACCCGCGGTGGGTCCGCGCAGCGCACCCTCCCCCGCGGGCTTGGCCGCAGACCCAGGGTCGCAGGTCAGACGCGTTAGGACACGCCCACTGCCTCTCCCTTCCCTTCCGAGAGAGGAGGGGAGAGGGACCACCAGGCGTCGGAGGAACTGCAGGCGTCGCCCGAACGCTGCCCGGAGTCCCGCCCAGCGTCCGGCCACGCAGCCCGGTCCAGGCCCACGGCCTCAGGAAAAGAGAAACCGCTGCAAACGTCAGGGGACAGCCCAGGCGAGGCGGTGGTGGCCCCCTGGGGGCCGTGTGGGGAGGGGCTGGAGTAGGAGCTGCACACAGGGCCTGAGGCGGGGCGTGGGCTTGGCCGCCCGGGACCCCGCACACCCGGGCTGGGGAAGGAACCGGATCTGCCGGACACAGCCCCTCTCGGACCAAGGGCCATCGGCCTCGTGACCGCCCAGTCAGGCCTCAGTTTCCTTGAGGGCTCGAGGGAGGCCAGAACAGTGCCCCCACCCAGGACCAGGGGCCCCGCCCGACTTCTGTCCCCGGCGGGTGGATCCCCCAGAAGCTCTGCGCCCGCGGCGCTCACCGATCTCATCTCCGTGCCGCATCCGCGCCAGCGCGTAAAGCGGCTCGGGGGACTGAAGCGCGGGGACGCCCTTCAGCACCACCCTGCTGGCTGGGCCAGAGAGGGCGGGGCGGCCACGAGGGACGGGGCCGGGGAGGGCGGGGCCGCGTGTGGGGCGGATCCTGGAGGGGAGAGGGGCCAGAGGGGGCGGGTGGCATGTAGGGGCGGGGCCCGGCGGGAGATGGGCGTGGCCTGAAGGGAGGGTCCCCCGGAGTGCGGAGGACTTGGGGTTGCGTGGGCCGCCTAGGGGCGGGGTCGACCCCAGACCAGCCCCGCAGGCGCAGTCTGTCGAGGCCTCGCTTTCCCGGCCAGGTCCAGGACCCGGGCACCCACGTGTGTTTGTGTTGGAGCTCCCCAGTGCCCTCCTTGCGTGAAGGCCTCCTCTCCAGGCCCCATTCAGCCCCCAGGTCTTGGGGACTCGTCCCCCACTCCCTCCAGCCCGCAGGGTTCGTGGTGCCCTGGGGTGGGGAGGGCTGGGTGGCGGCACAGGGAGGACTTACTCCTTCACCCAACACTGTTCACACTGGAAGGACCCTGAGGGCAAGTGGGTGCGACCTCTGGGCCCAGCGGCTGTGCTGAGAGCACCCCTACGCTGTCTTCCAGGCGTCAGCCTGCTGAGACCCCTCAGGTACCTGGCTAGGGTGCCGCACCCCTGCCCAGGGAAGCAGCGCTCTGACTCCCCGTAGGGGACCCAGGGACCTGGGCTCCACAGGACCCGCCCCATCCCCGCCCCCACGCCCCCCAACACTAGGTGTCTTAATTTTGGGGGCGGGGAGAGATCACCTTCAGCTGGCCAGCTGAGGTGCATATGAAAGGAATGATTTCAAGGAGCCCATACATCTTGCATCTTCCCATACATAGGAAAGCACTAAATTCATTAACTTGAGATGTCTGGTTTTCTTTAATTAGCAGTAATATTTTGCTGTTCGGACTACCTGGTTTTTTGTTTTGTTTTGTTTGCAAAAACTCCTGTACATACTGGCTCCTCCTGTTACTTGAAAACTGGGTTCACCTCTCGGTGGGTGTCGAGCCGAAAGACGGCCAAGCCAGCAAAGGTGAGGAGAAGGAAGAATTTATCACAGCAAATAAGGAGAGCACAGGGGCCTTCCCAAAGGCCCCCCCCCCCCCAGCAAAACTGGGGACGTTTTAAGCTAAGGGCACATGCATATTCAGGAAGGGGCTTGAGCAGAGAATTTAGCATAAAGTTGGGGCAAAAGTCAGGTTGACAGAGTCACGTGTTTCTTGATTTAAGTCAGGACGGTCAGCATCACCATTGCACCCTCCACCTGGGTAGGGACCTTAGTTCCTGCACAACTCAAGGTATATTATTACGTTTACCCCTTGAGGAGGACCTAGGACTCTGCTTTATCACTGTTTTTTCTCTGTCCCTGTGTTCCTCTGTTCGTTTAACATCACTGATTACTGAGACCTGTTCAAGGGCAAAGCACCGGGGCCAGGCTTAGATCACAAAATGGCACAGGCCAAAACGGGTTCTCGTATGTTCAGAAAGCCATTCCTGGTTCTCTTTCTCCGGGGACCCCCTGCCCTATCTGCTTACACTCCCTTACCTCTTTGGAACAGTCCCTGAGAGCTGAGAGGCTGTATCCTGGGCTTAAGTCCTCAGCAAGTCCACCGAATAAAGCATAATTCTCAATTTTTAGGTTGTGCATTTATTTCAGTCGACAGGTATGATTGTTTTCCTAAAATGGCAGCACCGCCGCCATGTTGTGTCTGACACGCTAGAGTGAGTGATGCGCCTCCCCTGAGGCAGGTTTGTCCCCTTTCTTGAACCAGGTGGACCTTTGTAACTGCCTCCAATAGAATGCTGCACATGCTGCTGCCTGGCTTCTGGGGGCAGGTCATAAAAGGCAGTACGGTGGGATTTCCCTGGTGGCACAGTGGTTAAGAATCCGCCTGCTAATGCAGGGGACACGGGTTCGAGCCCTGGTCCAGGAAGATCCCACATGCCGTGGAGCAACTAAGCCCGTGCGCCACAACTACTGAAGCCCACACGCCTAGAGCCCGTGCTCCGCAACAAGAGAAGCCGCTGCAATGAGAAGCCCAGGCACCGCAATGAAGAGTACCCCCCGCTCATCGCAACTAGAGAAAGCCCACGCACAGCAACGAAGACCCAACACAGCCAAAAACAAAACAAAACAAAACAACATGGCAGTATGGCTTCCTCCTGATTCTCTCTTCAGAACACTTGCCCTGGTGTTATAATCAAATGCAACCGATTTTCTCCCGAGGAGACAAAACCAGTTAGACAAGCAGAATTTAATTTAGTTTATTTTGCAGGACAAGAAAGGTCAACTTGACCTGGGACAGTTCTTGTTTATGCCTCTGAAAATCATAAGCAAAACTTAAACAGTTCCCCCAATTGGCATGAGGTAACCACTAGCCAACTCTCTTTCATTTAAGAAAATTCGAATCTTGTAACCAATCACTATAAAGAATCACTGCCCTCACACTACATACGCTGCTTTGTAACAACATCCTCTGAGCCTCATCCCATGTTTTGGTTTGAGTACTCCTGGTTTGCAAACTGTCTTTCTGGTGTGTGCACAATACACTTTTACTAATCTCTACCTAGGTAATTTGTTAGTCTTACTTCTGTTTTTTGTGAACTTCTGCCACTGGGAAGGCAGACACAGTACTGGCAGGAAGCCGAGGGAATGAACGTGGTGAGCCCTCCTGTGGGCATTCGGCCCATAGCCCCAGCTCAGCCCAGTGATGCCGCATCAACCACCAGGCCAGGGAGCGATTGCTCAGGAGGGGCTCCAGCTGAGGCCCCAGACTTTGTGGAGCAGAGACAAGCTGACCCATGGTGGCCTGTCTGGATTCCTGACTCATACAACTGAGAAAGGAGAACTGATAATTGCTCCTGTAAGCCACTGAGTTTAGGGATAATTTATTATGCGGCAGTAGCTGACTAATGCAGGTGACTCCTGTGCCCTGCTGAGAGGTCACCAAAAGCCCTGCTGACACTGCCCTTGGCCTTCAACCCTGTGCCTGCTCTCTCTCTACCCCGCTCCACACATGCAGGCTTGAGTGCAGACCCCAGTGCAGATGCCTGTGCCTGCACCAGCTGGATCATACCCCCGCTTAAGAACCCCAAACCTAACTTCACTGCCCAGCCTGCAAATGGGCTCTCACTCAGGCCAGCTGGCTCTCAGCCCTCCAGGCTCTGGCCCTCCTTACAGGGCTGCCCGGTTTGCCTGCCGGCCACCCGAGTACTTACTGCTGCCTGTGCCGCAGGAAACAGCCCAACCCAGAGCCGGGACAGGCCAGGCTCTCTCCCCTCGGAGCCTGCCCCCTTCCACCTCATTCCCAAATGGACCCTCAGCCCTGCGGTGACACGCCCGGAGGCCTGGCAGCTCCTGCGGAAGTTCTGTACGTGAAAGATGGCAGAGAACCTGAAATCAACAGACAACCCACGTCAACTGCCCAGCCCTGGGGAGCCTCGCTAGTCAAGGAAGCTGCCCAGGGAGGTGGTCAGCAGGGTCCACACTCAGGCCGCCCACAGTGGCCAATTCCACCCAGTGTGAGCAGTTTCTACTCCAAACCCTGAGTGGAGAGACTTGAAGTTAACATTCCGTGAAGCTTATCTTTTTAGTAGGAATATAAGAGGGAAAAGCCAATTTTATACGGATAGATGAGAATGAAAGGTCTCAGCTTCAGAAACAAATCAAAACCCCCAAACAATATGGCACTGGAGGTCAATTAACTCAAGAGGGAGTGGAAGGCTCTCTGGGGCTTGTGGTCCTTGAAGTCCCGCTGGGGTTTGCCTTCAACCCCGCCACCCACAGCAAAGCACGCAGTCACACCACTGGACGGTCCCCAGTCTCCCCAAGCCCGGGGCCACCACGCAGCCTGAAGAGATCCTGTTCCCTGGGCCTGGGGACCCGTCCCTGCCACGTGCTGGATCCCAAATGATCCTGTGGGTGCAGACCTTTGAGACACACACACTCTCATGTGCGGGTTCCACGTCGAGCCCTTTCTCGGCTTCCGGCTGAGCCGCTGAGACAGGGTACCCGCGAGTCTCGGATGGGCCCCTCACAACTGGCCCCCCAGCACTCGGAGCTCTGTTGTTCGGAATCGGTTATGAAGGTCACCGCCCAACGCGTGTGAAAGATTAAACTAATGCATGGACTTTTTCAACTCTAAAGTTTCCTCCTGCACATACCTCTGCTTGTTCATTCTAGACGGTATGTCACTAGTGCAAACCCCGGTTACACAGCTTTAATAAATGGGGTTCCCACCTCTACTGCCATGAAGACCACCCGGCTGGGCCCAGCCTTCCTGACCCCAGGGGAGAGCCTGATCTCATGGTCCCCTTGTACCTACTCCCTTGCCCACCGTTCAAGGGTGACTCCATCAGAACTCAGTGTCTGCTGTCTGGGGAGGGTCTTGTGCCATAATAGAACCACTGCGCCCTTCTCAAACTCCCGACCATGGCACACACTGCAGAATGACAGGGCCTGGGTGGAGACTGCAGAGCTAATCTCCCCAGGCAGACGGTCAGCAGAGCAATTCTTTTTGGGCCCCCCAGCTGCGCAAATATGACCAGAGCACAAGGGCGAGTCATCGAAGGTGCTGGGCGGCCAGGGCTCCACCGGCCATCTCAGCTCTTCCTCAGTTCCAGGTGGGTCTCTCTTGGGTGTTCAGCATGGGTCCTGGGTGGGGGGAGGGTACACACTTTGGGCCCAGCCCTGCCCAAGGCCATGACTGCAATCCCACATTCAGAAACCTCCGCTGGGCAGGCTGGTCAACAGGCTACTTGCCCATGACTGGCAGCTGGACAAGGTGGAGGAAACGCCTGTACCAGGTGCTCAGGTCTTCACTGGGTGGCTGCTCCCGGAGGAGGGCTCTGAGGCCCGATTCCCAGGACAGGCAGGCGCATGTCTCACCGCGCAGCACTTGCTTAGGCAGAGCTCTGCCCTGGGTTCTAAGCGGCACCCATCATGCCGACAGCTGAGGCTCTCTCTGCAGAGCAAGATGGATGGGGTGGGGGTGGGGGCACAACGAAGCCAGCAGAGCTCACCCCTCACCTGGCCATCTGTTCACCTGCAGCTGCGTTGTCGTGGGCACCGCACCAAGATCCAGGGGGATCCTCACGGTGCCGGCGTTCGCTCCCAGAGGTGCAGCTGTTCTGGCCTCACCTTGGAGGGTCTGAGGACATTCTGAGGCTGGGGGGCCCTGACCCAGGCCAGCGACTGCCGTCTTCACCCGTGAAGCCCTCCCAGGCAGCAGGAGGACAAGGGCCTTCATCCCGTGCTCCAGGACTCATACGACTCTCCCCCTGGACACCTGCTCGAGAATCTGGTGTAAAATGGAGGGTTTAGAGTTCCGAGCCGGGCTGTGACCTGAGGATTAAACAGCAGACGTCTGGTCGGGGCAGAGGTGTTTCCCGGTACCTCGGTCACTCATTCACCCAGGGTCCTGCAAGGTGCCTGACTGCACAGTGACCCAGGGGACGCAGCTGGTCCTCCCGGGGATAAGGCCACCAGAGGAACCCTGGTGTGTAAACTCTACGTCCTCCCACAGCAAAGGGCACTAATCCTGCGCCAGGTCTGTGAGCACGCATTTTAAACCGATGCCCCAGGGATTCCGACACAAGCAGTCCTCACACCAATCTGGGAGCCTCGGCCCCCGGCAGCCCAGCCCCACAGTGCCACCCTTCCCTTCCAGATGCACTCGAGCTGAAATGCAAGGATTTGTGCA